ACTTAACGTCCAGTGGCAAATATTCATGCATGTTGTTCAGGACGAGAGCAAATTAACAATAAATGCAATAGGTACATTGTGTAGGTCCTGTAATAGAAGCCGTTCGGGACGAAGGTCGGTAAATTTAGACTGCCACTGAAAAATGAGTGTATATTGGATAGTGATAGAAATTTTGCCTTGCAATAGGCCAACTACAGACCCCTGAAATAGTTATTATGCAGAGCGTGGTACTCTCTCTTCACGCCCCATTCTGGCCGGACGTAGCTGTGTACTTGTAGAACGCGCACAGCCAAACGGACGCAAGGGTTTTTTCTGCCGATCGGAAGAGAACCTAAGTGACCATATTTCTCTCCCACAGTCCTCCTTAGAGGTAAACAATTTTAGAAAGGTTTGTTATAAATCATGTCAGCACTGAGCTGATGATAACCTCGGGGAGTTGTCCAATGCATTTAATAAACAATGAACTAAATAATTTATAAGCTTTAATACAATCATTTTGAAATAATAAACAAGAGTGCACACGCTGAAATGTCTCACCTGTTTTACTGACAATTGATTTTATGTTGAAAGTCTTAAAGATAAAGGTTTTACTACAAGTATCACAAAAACATTTTTAAAGATCCATGACAATGAGGTTAAGGTCAGATAAAAAAACTGTCACACAGACATGTACACCTTACAATTATTCCATACACCAAATATAGTTGACCCATTGCTTATTGTAATTGAAAAACAGACCAAAACACAAAAACTTAATGTTAACCAATGAACCATGGAAAAGAGGTCAAGGTCAGATGATACTGGCTAGACAGACATGTACACCTTACAATCATTCCACACACCAATTATAGTTGACCTATTGCTATTAGTATTTGAAAAACAGACTAAAACACAAAAAGTTAACATTGACCAATGAACCATGAAAATGAGGTCAAGGTAAGATGACACCGGCTAGACAGACATGTACATCTTACAATCATTCCATACACCAATTATAGTTGACTTATTGTTATTAGTATTTGAAAAACAGACCAAAACACAAAAACTTAACATTGACCAATGAACCATGAAAATGAGGTCAAGGTCAGATGACACCGGCTAGACAGACATGAAAACCTTACAATCATTCCATAAACCAAATATAGTTGACCAATTGCTTATAGTACTTGAAAAACAAACTAAAACACAATAAATTAACATTGACCAATGAACCATAAAAAAGAGGTCAAGGTCAGATGACACCAGCAAGACAGACATGTACACCTTACAATCATTCCATACACCAAATATAGTTGACCTATTGCTTGCAGTACTTGAAAAACAGACCAAAACACAAAAAATTAACAATGACCAATGAACAATGAAAATGAGGTCAAGGTCAGATGAAACCTGCCAGTCTGACATGTACCCCTTACAATCATTCCATACATATAGTTAACCTGCTGCTTCTAGTACCTAAGAAACGGACCTAATCATGAAACTTTAACCTTGATCACTGATCCATGAATTAAGGTCGAGGTCAGGTTAACCCTGTCTGACGGACATGTAAATGTTTCAAGGAACCCATATACCAAATATAGTTATCCTATTACTCATAATAAGTGAGAAATCCACATGACATCAAAACTGTATTTTTTTTCAAGCAGTCACTGAACCATGAAAATGAGGTCAAGGACAATGGGCATATACCAGAAGGAAACTTCGTAACATAAGGTATCTGCATACAAGGAATGAAGCATCCAGGCCTTCTTCCTTCTGAAATATAAAGCTTTATACAAATAGTTTCCGCCGCCGCCACCGGATAGTAATACCTATGTCTCGCATACTGCGACTTTCGTCGCAGGCGAGACAAAAACTGAAATCTGTATATAATATACACGAAGATAGATTGTCAATTTTTTATTCTTTTAATTTCTGTTAAAAGGGAATCGAGATCTATGATGGTTCTTCAATTCTGTGTTACCAAGCATAACATTCGCTTGATCAGACTCCTCTTCACAGTAGGAGTTTTGAACATTGTTTTTGTTTTACATTTTTAGAAGGATAAAACATATTAACATCAAGGCAAATAGTAAATGAAACATTTTGATGTATATTCTGTTAAAAATAAACACATTTACCCGCTTTACACACTATGTGTAAGTATGTCTCACTCCAACTTGTCTGTGTTCACATAAAGATTGTTTAAATCACGAAATATTTACTATATGAAATCGATATCGGTACACTTACACGAAGATTGATCACATCACGTAAATTTACTGTATCATGTATTGTATCGAAATCGGTATACGTATATGTGTGAATCGATACCTTTATATGGGTGTGGACATGTTTGATCGATCCAAACATACGTAAACCTGCGTGGGTTGAATACAGTGGACGTGCATGGTGTGAACAGTCCTTATTTGGGCGCAGACCAAATATACGTATGTTGGTGTCCAAGTAATCTATATGACATGGCAAACAATAATATATACAAATGCACTATGCAATTTATGAAATGTACGTGTTAATACAGCATTATCAAACTGGGTTAATGTATTGGTTTCGTGCTTTGAAAAATACTTTATTTGAACCTTTTCATTGTTTTTTTAAATGGAAATGCACGGATATATTACTTTTTAGCCATATGAGTTTTGTTTGTTCACTCGATAAAACACGGACGCACTTGAAAAAACACGTACTGCTCTCGAAAAAAACACGGACATATGAAAATGAGTTTACTCTCCAAAATTTACTCTCCAAAATGTCATTATCAATTCACTACAAGAATTTTTGTAAAGTGTCTGAATACCTAATAGATATAAGAAGATGTGGTATGAGTGCCAATGAGACAACTCTCCATCCAAGTCACAATTTGTAAAAGTAAACCATTAAATGTCAAAGTACAGCCTTCAACACGGAGCCTTGGCTCACACCGAACAACAAGCTATAAAGGGCCCCAAAAATGACTAGTGTAAAACCATTCAAATAGGAAAACCAACGGTCTAATCTATATAAAAAACGAGAAACGAGAAACAATTATAAACAACATCAACAAAAGACAACCACTGAGCATATATAGATTCCATGTATGCATTTCCTTTGACATATGCATTAGTATGTGTATAAAAATGGCTTTAATATACATTCTAGAATAAAGCACTGTAAGGCTAAATTAAACGTTTTTTAAAAAAACTAATGTAGGATTGATAATATCTTTTTATCACAAATACTTTTATAACCTTATATGATCTTACATCAAAGGTTCTAGTACCTTTTTTTTTACGTCTTACCAGAATGGATGTCTGTTTTTTTACATTTTTGATCATATTCACTCGACAAAACGTGGTCACACTCGAAAAAAACCGATAAAATCACTCGAAAACACACGATCCCAGCCGGACACTATACCAACTGTGATAACATTACAGACGAAAAAATGTGCTATCAGCTCTGTACTCTCCTAGCCTATGTTATTGGAGGTCACTAGTCCAGCCGAAGAGCAAACCGATGTGCTTTCAGCTCTGTAATCTCCTAGCTTATGTTATTGGAGGTCCCCAGTCCAGTCAGAGAGCATAAAGATGTGCTATCAGATATGTACTCTCCTAGCCTATATTATTGGAGGTCTTCAGTCCAGCCGGAGAGCATACAAATGTGCTATCAGCTCTGTACTCTCCTAGCCTATGTTATTGGAGGTCCCTAGTCCAGCCGGAGAGCATATAGATGTGCTATCAGCTCTATACTCTCCTATCCTATGTTATTGGAGTTCCCCAGTCCAGCCGGAGAGCATACAGATGTGCTATCAGCTCTTTACTCTCCTATCCTATGTTATTGGAGTTCCCCAGTCCAGCCGGAGAGCATACAGATGGGCTATCAGCTCTTTACTCTCCTAGCCTATGTTATTGGAGGTCCCCAGTCCAGCCAGAGAGCATATAGATATGCTATTAGCTTTGCACTCTCCTAGCCTATGTTATTGCAGTACAGCCGGAGAGCATACAAATGTGCTATCAATTCTGTACTCTCCTAGCCTATATTATTGGAGGTCCACAGTCCAGTCGGAGAGCATATAGATGTGCTATTAGCTCTGTACTCTCCTATCCTATGTTATTGGAGTTCCCCAGTCCAGCCGGAGAGCATACAGATGGGCTATCAGCTCTTTACTCTCCTAGCCTATGTTATTGGAGGTCCCCAGTCCAGCCAGAGAGCATATAGATATGCTATTAGCTTTGCACTCTCCTAGCCTATGTTATTGCAGTACAGCCGGAGAGCATACAAATGTGCTATCAATTCTGTACTCTCCTAGCCTATATTATTGGAGGTCCACAGTCCAGTCGGAGAGCATATAGATGTGCTATCAGCTCTTAATTTCCTAGCCTATGTTATTGGAGGTCCCCTGTCCAGCTGGAGACCATATGGATGTGCTATCAGCTCTGTACTCTCCTAGACTATGTTATTGGAGGTCCCAAGTCCAGCCTGAGAGCATATAGATGTGCTATCAGATATGTACTATCCTAGCCTATGTTATTGGAGTTCCCCAGTCCAGCCGGAGAGCATATAGATGTACAATTAGATACGTACTCTCCTAGCCTATGTTATTGGAGTTCCCCAGTCCAGCCGGAGAGCATACAGATGTCTATCAGATACGTACTCTCCTAGCCTATGTTATTGGAGTTCCCCAGTCCAGTCGGAGAGCATATAGATGTGTTATCATATATGTACTCTCCTAGCCTATGTTATTGGAGTTCCCCAGTCCAGCCGGAGAGCATATAGATGTGCTATCAGATATGTACTCTCCTAGCCTATATCATTGGAGTTTCCCAGTCCAGCCGGAGAGACAGTGTATATATATATGCATACTCAATCACTCGATCAACTCAGATTCCGAAATTCCTGTTTTAAACAATCGTGTCTTTGAAATCTTAAAATTATACGGTAGGGTAGGCATTAAAAGGAAAGTAATTTAGTATAAGAATAGTTAAGATATAAAATCTATTTTAATCTACTGGTGTTGAAAATGTAACTTTGAATGTACTGTATGATTGAGGTGACAAAAAAATGTTCCCGCAATATTATGTTCGTAATTTGTGCCTTATTTGTAACTAGGATATTGTTTAGAATGATAAAGGTCATACTTAAAGAAAGATCCCTCGGATAAAAAAATTGGTATTCCAAGAATAACAGACCCACAAATCTCGGAGTGCCTTTCGCGGAAGTGATATACAAGTAAACAACTGCATCGACCTAGATAACGTAACACTCTGATGTCGTATATGTACAGGTAAGTTGTGTGAAAATATAAATATATACAAAAACAAATATTTTAAAAATGAACACTATTTTGCATGAAAGTAAAGTTTTAAAGTATAAAACTGTTGATACTGCACTACCATTTTTATTCTTTTTTTTATTTCAATGTTGTTTAAATGCAGTTTTTATTCTTTTAACTTCAGTTTTGTTTAAATGGTCAAGGACATTCATATTCTTTTAATTTTAATTTTGTTTAAATGGTCGACATTCACAATGTTTTAATGTTAAAGCAGTATCCAAATGATATAATGCAACTCTCTAAATCAACGTTGCTCGTTTAGGTGAAATGTCTGTCTTTGATAAAACTTTTTAGGAAATGCCACTCTGTTACTTCAAGTACATTTTTTTACTATGCAATTATAAAATATATAAAAGCCCTTTACCTCGGGTATTAAAACGCATAATTTTACTCTAGCAAAGTAATGTAATGCTTCGGAACAAGCAAATGGTTGTGAATGTAGACCTACCCTATTTAATTTTTCCAGTGATTAAAGCCCGTTATATTTACATGCTTTTATAATTGATAGGCCAACCTTGGGGTCGAAATTTTCGAATATGTATCATGCAATTTTGATATATATGCAAAATTAATTTCCCAATTTACATTTTATAGTTCCTACCAAATGCGAATTAAAATACTTGATTTCGGTTGTAGACCTTTTTTGAAATTTCAAAATATTAAGAAAAAAACAAAATTAGAAAATAGTTTTTGTCCTTTGAAAATTGACGCTGACGGCAGAATTTTCTGCAAACTTTATATAATATTTTATAATGGCTTTTCTATAATATGTTTAAGCTCGAAATCACCCTTAACATCTTATATAAAATCCATTTATTAATATATATAATATAGGTATTTTTTTATTGAAGTACCATTAAAATTACAAGTATGTTATCACCCGCCGCACTACAAAATAGTACGTGCACGTTAATATTCTTCGTCCGTCCATCCGTAAAAGTGTGCGAACACTTAGACTGGTACCCTACCGTTATTTGACAAGCTTAATATTTGTATATTCCGAAGGCGTACTGAATATTTTACGGAGGCGACCAACCTAGTGAACACTAACTCAGTCATCTGAGACTGTTTGTCTGAAATTTTCCATACTCCTTGAAAGGATTGTTTGTCATCATGTTTAGTTGACTTTACTTAACAGAAATTTTGAGTTGCCATTCATTTGAGGGATTTTTTCGGATTTTGACTTTTTTTTTGCCAAATGTACCTCAATGGCATCTTGTGAATTCAACTTTCCTGAGACCATATGTTAAAAAGCTTTCATACAAAGTGAGTTTAATTATCATTGTGTGAAGCAGATTATACCGCCATTAACGTTTGACAATTTTTGAGAGTGAACTTCTTATAATAGAGACTGACCAATTTATCTGCCTTTGAAGCTTGAAATCGTGGCACAACTCGCATGGGATCGTTTGCCCAAAATCTCCCATACATCATAGGATTTTTTCTGTAAACATGTGAAGTGGACCATACTATATATTTATAGATATATATATATACACTAGCACTGCCATTTGAATTTAACATTTTGCGAGAGTTATTGTGAGTATGAACATTTGACTATATTGAAGCACTAGATAGTATATAAGTCGAAGTAGAGGAGTATCATACTTTGTAAACGTTGCCTTTCTTTCTTCGGCTTATTATTCTAGTTTTTTGTTTGTGACCCCGGCATCTGTCTTTTTTCACTTTTTCATCTTTTAATAGATTATTGATAGTCTTCCCTCACCAAATCTGCATCAACCATTTTTAAAATCCCGAGAAATTCAATTACCATAGAAAATTATAAAATGCCTTTCTCGTACTAGCAACTTGTATAAATACAAAACTATCAAATGTTATCTTAGAAAATTAAAAATTCTTTTGAGTTTGTTTAACAAGAACATTGCATAAAAAATATACAGCTATTTACTTACGTTCATATTCTGGAAATTTAAATGATTAGGAATTATGTCGTGATAGGCTTAAATATTTGGTCCTGACATGTTGCATAAATACTGAGAAAATTACCGAAACTGGCGACTGAACCTTATGTTTGATGTACAGTGATAGCGATATTATTAGCCTGTGACCCTGGAGCACATAACTGCTCAACAGTCCAAGGCCGTAACTAGGCATATTGTTTTAGTGAGGCAGAACTGATCGCCGAGTGGAGCAAGGCAAACAAATAAAGCCGAGCGAAGCTAGCGAAAATTTCGGTAGGGGGTCTGGGATAAATGGTGAATAATCCTGCATTCTGGGTATTTCAAGAGAGCTTGACATCGTTGCATAGATTGAAGATGTCACGGTTTGATTTCAAACGGTTTCTTTGCGGACGGAGCTAAACGTCAATTTTCAGCTTTAAGCATTGAACAGGGTATATTGGGATCTACTTTGCCATTTCACCTTCAGGAATATCGGATAATCATAACTTTGTCATCTTAATTCACTGAGATATGTGGGCACCCACTATGTCATTTTATGTTATTTTAGGAATATTATTTTTAGTTTTTCTTTTTGCCACTTTTAATGTTATGGATACGGGAAATTGGATATAACTATATCGTTTGTGTTAATTTTTAGTTGGTTTTTTTATGGATACGGGGAAATCGGACTGGAATTTTCGCCGTTTACATGTAGGTCCGTGATTTCAGATTATTTCTGGAAATGTCAGTGGTAAGATATTTTAGATCGACAATCGAATAATGAGGGGGTAGGAGGGGATCCGATCCCGAAATCACGAATCGAAAGACACGAAATCCCGTAGTCCCGAATTAGAAAACAAGAAATTCCGTTTTGAAGGTCCTACCGTCCATCAATAATGTCAAAATTGGATTAAGGGATGTAATTTCAAATTTTAGAATACTCAGACAGGACTGCTCCCGTGCGGTGCCCCAGTACTTGATGTGTCAGTCTATTTATAGTTTTTGGATTAGTTCCAATGAAAATATATTCAATACTGGAACTCTTAACACCTGTTGATATCACAAAGAACATCCATTAGTTTACTAGAATTATTCCTTCCTCATCTTCTGTATCGCTTTTCCTTTTTCTGCAAGAGCCTGTTTTTAACCACTGGAGATCCATAATGATTACCGTTTACTAGGTTAATGTAATCGAGAAACATCAAGCGATGACTGAGATGCTGGATCATATCCGGGAAGAATAATTTAAAAGGAACGATTTCAATTAAGTTATAGAAATTAAGTTTGAGACAGAAAATACAAATGACTATATTTCGTATTTAATTACCATAAACAAATACACAAAAAAATTCAGTGTCGAAATTTTAGTGAGGCAATTGCCTCACTTGCCTCACTTGAATTTCCTCGCTTGCCTCAATGGTAGTTATATATACGGCCTTGACAGCAGAATAGAGCAGAATACACGACAGTCTTATCCTCATTGGTTGTAAAATCGACGCATAGTGGAATAGCAGCAATTTCTTACATCTGACGGTAGACTCTCAGCTTGCTACAAACTTCATTGCAATAAGCAATGAGAATGTGCCTCGATCTCAGACTATGGTTATTATTATGCGGCAGCGTCAGTCATAGTTCTTTAATTCCTTGCATATAAAAAGAATCAGACTAGTTTTCTTGAGAGGTGAATCTTTAACAGTAATTTCTGTCGGGTAATAAAAGTTGTCCCCGGACTTTTTTCCTAGGTTATCAAGTCCACGGCCATAATTTTATTAGAAAAGTAGGTCCCAGGATATATTTTCCTAGGCTAGTAAATTATGTCAGGCACTTATTTTCAAAGGACATTTTGTAGGTTTGTATCAAAAAGACTAAATTATAAAAATATAAAATAATTGAATAATGAAAAATCTAATTTCCTACTTATAAATGTCTGTGTTATCAATATGACATTCTTTTAAATTTATTCAAATTTCAAAAGAGTAAAATAAAGAAACAAGATAGTTATAAATATAATAAAAGTCTGGGACATAATTTTTCCAGGAAAAAAGTCCAGTCCAAGGACATGGGCATGAATTCCTAGGAAAATTTGTCTGAGGACATTCGTTACTGACATAGGACTAAAAATACTAGTAAATTCTGTAGCCATGGCCGTGACTTTTACTAGCAATTTGTGTCCGTTCCGGACACATTTTACCAGGACTAATTTATCTAGTACAAATCCTGATTTTTACTTTAACATCGACATAACCGCACTCTGTGTATTAATGTCGAATTGAAAGCTTGTTGCATTGCAGATGTTGACAGATTCGGAGAAGGCATTGGTATGGTTTAGTTAGCCTTTTGTTTGTGTAACATCCTTGGCAACTTAAACATTTTGATGTATCGAGATTTTCAGCATGACAATGCTAAGCTGCATACCTCACATGCTAATGTAGTCTTTCTTGCGAAACAATTTAAACCCGTGTGAACACTCACGGGATGGGTTTGATCAGCATGTGCGTCAGTATGAACCATTCCTGCAAAATGAAAAATAAAAAACTTCGTCAGGATGGTGTTAACATCATATACTGACGCAAGCGTTCATAAATATATGCCTGTAGACATATTTTGGTTATTTCTACTCATGTTCATAAAAAGTGTTATGAAGTCTATCATCATACCAATGTTGATCATCGTCCTGTGTATTGTGTGCAATGCATACATTTAATATTTAAATTATAAAATTAATTATATTTTTTTATATTTTGCGTTTCAAAATCACAAATTATTATAAAAAAAACCAAAAAAGACAAAAAACAAACAAACAAAGCAATGTCAATAGAATAATATATATTATATAGAAGTAAAAAGTTCAAGACCGAAAATTGTTTGAACACAAGTTTCCATTATTGTCATATTATAAAATGGTATAATTATTGAATTATAAAATATGATATCATCTTTTCAAAAGAAACCTTTGTTCTATGATTATTTTGTGTTTGTTTTATTAGAATGACTTCTATTGTTGTGTTTATGAATTCGGTTCAGTTATGTTATTATTTAACTAAGTATCTT